CAGGATTGAAGCAGAGGTAACAGTGACTTTGGTTCTCTTGAACAGAGACAAGGGAACAGAGAAAGTTATTCAGTCTTTTCATAAGATTAACCTGCTCTGTCTTAATTAGTCTGCTGGGATGATGCAGCTACTGTACAAGGGAAATAGATCACTTTCATAAAGCATGGTAAGTAAAGCCAGCTTTAAAAATAAATATGCTATTACATATTTCCATGCTTACCTCAGTTAGGAGGTAGCACATTCACTATATTCCAGTAATAAGTGAAAAAAATACACCAGGAATTTGCTAGGGTTAAAAAATGCCATATTTCCTGTGCTTTTGCAAGAAATATACTTTTTACCATTCTCCTACCATACTGAGCTGAGCTTCCAGCACAGAGAAGCAGGTGCTGTGCATCATTGCTATTCTAAACTGCAGCAGAACTGGAGAGCCAGCACATGGCAATTACCCCGGTACATCAGATCCCAGTAAAGCTGCACTCAGCCAAGTCTGGTGCATAAAGACATCAACAACCCCAGGTTCTTCTCCCTCTCACATGTCCTCTTCTTTGTTACAGGCTTCTGCCACCTTTTGCTCCTGTATTTGCAAGCTCTGTGGAATGAGGGTCCCTCTCAGTCTTGGCACGGTGCCTAGGCTGAAGCTGTCTGTGTTAAGTATGGTCTTTAGGCATAACCACACTATATAGTCATAAAGCAGCTGCTCGGTCTGATCTTTTTAATAATAGAGGAGATTAAATACTTGGAAATTCAGCTAGAATACCCAGTGAGTGCCCTACTTCTCGCCAGCGTGGGGTACTTGTTTGACACTCTTTGGTTTACACAGTGAAAGCAAATGCTATCCCACACAGCAGCTGGATTTCAAGCACGATGAACTTCATCTTGATTACTCTCTTTGAGGCTGCATCGGCTCTTCTACCACCTGCCTCATGGGCGTCTGTATTAAATACACACCCTGTCATTTTGGGATTCGCTGAGCTTGTTTTGCTGTTGAGAATCAGAGCATGGTAGGAACCACCAATCTAAAAATCATTTAAGTGACCTTTCTCTCATTAGGACAAAGAGCACGTTTATGTGTGTCCCTCTCAGTGTGAGGTCATTGGATATTTTCTCAGCAGCATTTTCCCTGGACTGACTGTGGGAGTCTGGGCCCATGTGCCTCTATGGTTAACACTTTAATGATTTCATCCTAGGTGAAAAAAGTAGGGAGCAGAATCTCTCATTGACAACTATTGGTGAGAAGAACACTGGCTCAGTCTTGATGTGTTCATTTGGCTGTGTTACACACACTGAATGTGGGGATAAGGAAGCTGAAGTGGGAGATTTGCTGCTCAATAGTATGGTTTAGAATTCATGTGCTTCCATTTATAACTTTTCGGTGTTTTCTTGTAACTTGTTCTGTGTAATTTATAGGGCATTTCCAGGAAAAATGATATTCCCATAAACGAAGGAGAGGAATATTTCTGACTAACCAGCACACACGTGGTTTTTTCTCATTTTATACCATTTTTACTTCTTCCCTGGATTCCCTTGTTAAACTGACATTTCCAAAATGATTAATCCCAGCTCTTCCTCAGAAGCATATCAGTGTTACTGTGGTTGGCTAGTCAGTAAAGCCCACCACTGAGCAACAATACATGGCCCATGTGAAATGGCTGCTACAAAGCACTTCAAGTCTTGCAGAAGAAGAATACTATTAAAATGGCAATGTTAACAAGGATTAAACTCTCTGATTTTCTACAACCATTTCCAGCTGGACCAGGGAACTGTGCATTAAGCTAATGAGAGGTAAAAGCCAAATTAGCCAGTTTTGATGGAGCTTTCATCGCATGTGGGAACACTCTGAATGCAGATGCAATTATTTCTCAATCTGTGGGACCTTCAGTCCGTAGACTTGCATACCACATTAAGCTGATCCAGTAAGGCTGGCCCCCAAATCTGACCCGTCTGACTCTTACTCTCTTCTGAGGAAATGACTGTAGAGCAGGGAAGAGGAATGTAAAATGATACTTGCTGCTTTTGCTCGCCTCCAGCCTGAGATGGTAGGTCTGCTTACAAACATTTTCACATTTAACCCACATTAGGACCGAATCAGGACTCTTTCGATCACTGTCAATATATAAGCATAACCAAAAAGAGAAGAAAGCCAGAAATGTCTTAAGCACAAAGAAACATGAAGCTGGAACAGTTTTTTAAAAAAAATATATTATTTGTCTTTGATAAAAAGACTGACTTAGGGAATTGTTCACCAGCTGGGTCAGCCAAAATAGACATGTGGACAAATTCACAGTATCACAAGAGTATTCACCTTGTCAGGAAAATACACTAAAGTTTTGGTAAAGTGTGAAAGGGGGAGGGTCTCTCACTCCTCCTCCAGTGTTTCTTCTTTCTTCATTTAAAAGACAAAGTTGAAGCAATTAAAGTCATAGCAAACCAGATTAAGTTAATTTTATGCTTGGCAGATCAACCCTTGTCATGAGAGTGACAATTCTTCACCTCTGGTCCTCACTCTTTGCAGACAGGAGAAAAGTCTGATTTTAGCAGGGTACCTATTTAACAGCATTCACCTTCAGCACATGCTTTCTTACCTCCCAGATGCTGGAGCATCATCATAGAGAGTGGTACACCTCCATTCACACTGTACTTTGAGGGTCCCAGTGTTTTGGGGTAGACATGTGGAACAACTCTTTAATTTTAACCCTGCCAGCCCCCAGGACTCTGCTATAGCATCCTGGCATGTGCTGATGGAGGTCGACTCCTTCATTGTAGCTGATATGACACCAACCAGGGTTGCTACCACTGTAAGGAAGTGCATTAGCTGTGCAAGCCTTAATGAAGACAATGGAAAATGCCTTCCTTTTGTGGGTTGTTTTTTTTTGTTTTGTTTTGTTTTGGTTTTTGTTTGTTTGTTTGTTTGTTTTTAATGTTACATGTTACGGGTTTTTTATGTTTTTTGGGGTTTTTTTATGTGTATAGAGAGTCGATGTTTTTTGACTTGAAGTGGTCATTTCTGCGTGCTTTCCCATGCCAAATATTTTAAGCATCTTAATCCAGCTGTCTAAACTTTTTATGCAACAGTAGACATCCAAATACACTAGGAAGTGACTCTCATAAGTAGCCAGCCTGTCACTACACAGCCCTCTCAGCCCTACGGATGTGCCCTCGCTCTCCAGCAACACTGGGGAAGTCATACGGACTGTCTGTCCCTCAGTCCATCATCTCCAAATCAGAGGGAATTGAACTTAGCTGTCTCACAGAGGTGATGTTAGCCTGGCTAGCTAATGTTTAGAGCTTACAAAGGGAATAAGATGATGATGTGCTCATGCTGGTGATGAGGAGGGTGGCTGAGGAGAACATAAATGCAGCCAGATGGTGGGGGATTTCCAGTTCTGTGGTCCTACATCAGAATCACAAACAACAGAACAGTGTTAAGAATTATAATGGACAAAACCCCGCATCCATTTTAGGAAGTCTACCACGTTTTTCCCATTCTTTGATCTGGAAAAAAGAAGAAAAGGAACTGTAAGGTAATATAAAGCTGGCATAAGCATTACCTTTATTGGGAAAGTACTGAACTTCATGAAGTTGTGAAACTCGGTAAGGCACAACTGACGAAGTAAAAGCTGTGAGTTGGCCATAATCCCTCCTAATTCTCCAGTAGGAGAAAATGAAAACCCCAGCCCTTCCTTATTTCTTTATGTTAATGAAGCAGCATAAGAACTGATTTGGGCCCCCAAGAAATAATTCTGTTCCTCCTCATATGGCTGTAAAACTTCTATCCATTCATTTATCTGCAGTCATATAACCAGTCAATGACTTCCTTATTAACAATGTCTATTTCTAAAGACTGGTTTTTTTTTGCTATACACATTTTCTTTTAATTGCATATTCTTCATTATGATGAGCAAAAAGCCATAATATGCAGAAGACCACTGAACAATAGATTTATTTATAAAAGAGGTGTAAAGATCTCCCAGGAGAGCTGAGCATCCTCGCTGCCAGCTGAAATCAGCAAGAGCAAAGGTTCTTCAGTCTTCTCTAAAGCTTGGTCTTGAATCTGTATAAGGTCTTGAACTTCTGACATATTTTTGGCTTTTCTCCTTCTTTGAATATGAATATTCCTGTGTCCATTTCTTTAATAGCCAGGTGCTGTTGTGGGCTAGCATAAATGTACTGGTTTTTTTGTAACGATACTGCCAAGGAAACAAATTCTCCAAAGCAACTGCATGGAATTACTAGAAGATGAGCTGTCAGACATTAGTCAAGTATTTACTCACTGGGCAAATATCTACTCCTGACTATGTCATGATGGTTTCTGCTCAGACTTTTTCATTGCAACGTCCCCAAACGTTTAACAAGCAGAATACAAGGAGAGAAGAGGAACCCACGTCTGTGTGAAACGTGGCACTTCCAAACATAGCACTGTAGAACGGTTTGGAGGTTGGAAGGGACCTTTAAAGGTCCCCTAATCCAACCCCCTTGCAATGAGGGGCTGCATCTTCCACTAGATCGGGTTGCTCAGAGCCCCAAGCAACCTGCCCTTGGATGTTTCCAGGGATGGGGCATCTACCACCGCTCCGGGCAACCTGTTCCGCTGTTTCACCACCCTTGGCTTAAAAAAATCTTCTTCCTTATATCTAGTCTGAGTCTACCGAATTTTTAGTTTAAAAGCATTCCCCCTTGCCCTGCCGCTACAGGCCCTGCTAAAAAGCCCGTCCCCCTCTTTCTTACAAGCCCCCTCCAAGGGCCGAAAGGCGGCAACGAAGCCTCCCCACCAGCTCTGCGCCGCGGGGGTGAGGCAGCACGGCTGCTCACAGGTGCTTCGGTGGGCACGGGGCGCGCGGCCCAGCGCGGGTAACGGGGCGGGCACCCAACGGGGGTGCGAGGGGGCCCCGCCGGGGCACCGGGGGCGGGAGGGGGCGGGGTTTCGCCGGCCCCGCCCCGCCCCGCCCCGCCCCTCCAGGTGCGCGGCGGAGCCGGAAGCGGCGTCGCCGGCGGGACCCGCGGCCGCCCCGGCGCCGGTGCCGCGCGGGGGGGGGATGAGATGGCGGCGGGCTGGGCGCTGGCCGCGCTGCTGGCCGCGCTGCTGGCCGCCTCGGCGCAGCTCCTCCAGCGGGAAGGTGAGGACGAGGGATGGGGCGAACCCCAGCCCCGCCGCCGGCTCGCCTGCCTGGCTGTGGAGTGCGGGGGGGAGCCCCGGGTTTGGGGGGGGGGGGAAGGGGGGGGCGGCCGCTCCTTCCCGCGGTGGAAGGCGGCGGCGGCGGCGGCGGCTGGGCCGGGCCCCTCGGCCCGGGGAGAGGGGCTGCAGTGCCGGGGGGCTCGGGCACGGCTTCCAGCGTCGCGCTGTAACGGGGGTATCCAGGTTCAGCACCCGCCGTCTGAGCCTTTCCTTCGCTTTCTTTGTGGCACAGATACGGGCGGGGTTAATGGTTTAAGCTTTAGGTCCTCGCTTGCTACTGTATTGATGATGCAAGTAACTTCACAAAGTCCTTTTCCCTGGGCGCCAGAGAGGCACCTGAATTATCCCTAAGGAGCAGGAGCTTGCAGGATCTGTGTCGGCCCATGCAGTCACATAAACTTTTAACCAAAGAGAATTACCTTATTTATATAAGGCAGTGGATGAACTGTGTTTGCAGGGAAGTGGGATGGCTTGTATGCCAGCCCGGGTCGGATAGTTTAATGGGAGGTTGCTGCTCATTGCCAACTCTGTGTCTCTTGAAATTCCAGGGTGCTTGATGCAATCCCACATATATAACCTGTGAATAATTTTCTTAAATCCTGTCTGCGACCCCAAAAGAATTCCAGTTATGAACACAGAGACAATGTGTGGGGTTTTCCTCAGTTTCCAGAGATGCTTGATTGCAAAAAATGCCCGTCCTTAAATCTAAACAGTCTGGTTTATAGCTATTAGTCCTGTTAAAGACTCTTGAAATATGAGTCCTTCTATACAGAATAAGTGATGAGTTATTTGCAGTGACTATGAATACCCTAAAAAAGTCTGATGTGAAATTCGTGCCTTTTTAATGTTTCCATAACTGCTGAAGTGTGGTTGTGCTACTGTTACTGTAAATAATATAATCTAAATGTTGACTGTGAAATTGGCCAGCACTGAGGTTTAAATTTTGAGCTGTGTCGTCTTTTCAATAAAATATTTGCATTTAATGTATTGCCTCTGAGTTGAGTGAATGACAGCTATTAGCTTCTCTAAGCCTCTTCAAGGAAAAAAGGAAGACTATTATGCTGTGGTTAATTATGTGTTGTTTTCAAAGGAAACTAACTTTTAAAATCTTAGATGGGTCAGTGCTAGAAGGAGAGGAACTAGACTTCCCAAAGATCTTATATTAGTGAAGTATCAAATGAAAAAATTCCAGTGGCATATTTTTTCATCCATAGGTCTAGACCTTCAATGGGAGATGCAGCAGCTTATTAATCATACATTCACACATTGCTCCTCTCCCTCTGGTCAAACTGCGTTATCAAAATCTTTTGTTCCTTTTATTCCCCCCCATAAATCTTCTCGAGGCCTCACATTAAACTTCACGGGCTTGCTTTTGAGGCACAGTACAGCTCTTTTTGAGCCAGAGTCTTTGATTTTTGCTTATTGTCATCATCTACTCCAGCTTTTCCCTTTCTCTCTTGTTTAAAACATCCAAACATTATGCGTTCGTGTTGACATTAAAAAAGGAAAACAGTTTTACACCTACTTTATGCAAGGTTGAGCCCACATCATTGGTTTGGTTGGGTGTAGAGCCCGGTGGTGGCAGCGGGTGCAGGCTGTGTCCCTGGAGAGCCGAGCAAGTCTCCTTTGCGCGTAACAGCTCTTGTTGGGGAGCTGGCAAAACCAAATGAGATGTGAAGGTGCAGGAAATGGAAGGAAGATGGGGAGTCTGACAAAGAATGTTTAGTCTGTCCTTATTGTGCAAACCTTTCTTACAAACAGGATTTCTGCGTGGGCTTTCTTAGCTTAATCTAGAGGAACCGGGGAGAGAGAGCTCCCCAACTGCTGACCTTGCCCTTGGGCTAACAGTGAAGTTGCCCTGCAAAGCAAAGTTAGCAACAGTGAAGTTGCACTGAACACCACTGGTAGACCCTGTGGTTTGCTGCAGCTGCTGGTGGTCCCTCTTCCGACCTTCTTCAGTCCCTTCCTTTCCAAACCGCGTGCTTCAGCCTGCTCGTCCCTCTCCTGCACAAGCCCCTGTGCCAGCTCCTCTGCCATCCTGTCAGACTTTAACTCGGTGCCTCCCTCTTCTCTGTGGACCCCCAGGCCCCCTCCACCTCCCGAAAGAGGTGTCTCAGTCTCGGCTGCATTAGTAGCAGGCTGAAGGTTGTGATGGTGAGAGGGGAACGGTGCCTTTGGTTGGGAGATCCCGTGTACCTGGTGTGTCCTTCATCCCAGTGGGAGTTGCTTTTGTTATTGCACAACCAAAACTGCAGTTGGAACATTTCCCTGAGCAAAGGTTTGTCCTGTGAGCCCAAGATAGTTCAGGTTAAGATTTTTCCCTCGCACCCCTATGTAGTTTGTAATTTTTAAGGAGTTGCCTGTGCCCTGGTGCTGACGTTGGTACTGGCTCCGCTGTTGCTGCGTTTTGGCTGCAAGTTGCAGCAATTTCCCTTTCAGTGAGGGCAGGCTTAGGCTGGGTGTGAGGCACGTGTGCCTCTTCAGGGGCCGGTGATGCTCTGGTGGGACGGCTGCAAATCGTGATGTGCCTATCTCTAAAGCCATCTCTTGTCATCCCTGGTGAAGTCCACCCTCTCGCCCTCCCTCCACCCTTTCCCAGCACGCACACTGTTATGGTGGTGTCCTTAGTGTCCCGTAGGAACATGTAGGTCAGGCATGGCTGGTCACATATTCTTCAGAAGAGCTTGTGGGTTTTCTTCAGGAGCAACTTTATGCATAATGTAAATTATCAAATGAAACATTTGTTAACTTACAGGTGGAAAACTACAGAAAGAAGTATTTGGTGTGATAGACGTGGGAGTGTGAATGAAATATTGTGTATCTGACCTTTGAAAATCTGTTTTCCAACGAAAAACGTGTTTCTTTGAAGCACTAATAATGAAGTTAATCAGACTTTTACGATGCCTATGAAACATAAACAAATATTTTAGATTTAAAGTGTCCTTATGTGATACAATCTGCATATGTATTTTGGGGTTTGTCTTTAAAATGTCATTGTTATAAGTGAATTTACAGATAATGCCATGTTGTTTCTTGCTCTACCCTCCAGTTAACTTTTTCTTGGCAACGGACTGGCTTGAGTCACACATCAGTTTTAACATTTAAAGCTGCTGCTTTTAATAAAATAAAACCCCAGGCTCTTAGCAGGGTCTTTCTGCTGTTCTGACAGAATCTAAATAATTAGCCTGTTTGCACTTCTCTGAAGACTGGTGGAAGCAGGATTATTTCCATACTGAATTGCCGTTTGCTCACTCAATCAAGACCTTTCCTTTTAAGACCAACTAATGTGCATGAGAATTTGGTTGTACCTTTTTTTTTTTGTTATTTTTTTGCTTGCCTCATGCCATAAACAGTCTAGAGTGCTTAGTTTTTACTATCTAGAAAATAAAGTGTGTATAGTAAATTACTTATTTATTGTGTATCTCAGTTCTAGTGCTACTACCTTACATTGTCCACCGGAAAATACACTTTATTTTTTTTTCTCAATTTCAAATTTTTTCACAGATTTGAAATGCTTGCTTTTCACAGGTGAGCCTTGTCTGTGTGTGATTTTCAATTGTTTGTCTTTACCTCTACATCCTTTCAGACTTAACGTGAAGGACCAAGTGGGAATGTGAGGTTGTGGGAACATGAAAATATTTGAAGATTAATACACTGAATTGAACGTGTTGCCCACAGCAGCACAAATGACCAACTGAGTACCCCCACCAGAGATCCTCAGTTAGGTTGTGGTCTCCGGAGTCATGTGTGAATGAAGTTTCTCCAACAGCCATACTCTTGGTCGTGGTCTTAGTTGTATGGAAAACTGAAACCACCAACTGATGGCAGCCAGTTGGCTAAGTGGCCCAGGAGAGAAGAACGGTGATGCAGTGGGCCAGCTTCTGAGCCTGGCTCCTTAGGTGGCTGGCAAGTCTTTTGTGCCTGGGGTTGTCATTTGATGAGCTGCGGTAGATCATCAGCCAAAACATGATTAAGGGGGAACAGGCTGAAAAGGATTCTTTTTTGGCACTGGCTCAAAGGACTGGCCAGGGGAGAAATGGGGTGGAAGGGTTGGAGACTGCTGAAGCTCATATCCAGAGTACCACCATCGACCTGTGGCATAGAGGAAATTACTTTTTAGCTAGAAGATTGCCCTCCTCATTTTTTTTATGGCTTGTGTGTGTTGCCTTGCTACACCATAGCAGGAGTTTCTAGGCAGCAATCATGGCTTGCTTTATGAAATAAGGGAAGAATTTTTCCCCTACCTAATAACAAGTATCCTTTGGGTCAGTTGTGTCCAGGCTTGTTAATCTTATCTATAAATAATATTGGAACAAAAAAGAAAGTAGGAGGAAGGTTACTGAAAAAATTAAGTTTTGACTTCTTGAAGTATGTAGCACCAGTATTTTCATAAATAAATATTGCTGGGGCTCAATTTATTGGTATACCTCCTATCACCCAGCTTAACTGATATTTATACATGTATAAAAGTTAGATAAAAAGCTTTAGAATCCACATGTGCCAAAACCTCAGTCTTAGGTGGAGGCTGAACAACTTTGCACTTGGTTCATTCTGGAAGTATTTCATATGAAGAGCCACCCTTTGCTGAGAATAAAGTCAGGACACTTTTGGCTTTACCTGCTTTTGCCGCTACAGCTGTGCGTGACAGGGATATGGTGTGTTTGCAAATTAGCGCAGATAACGCATGCACCAGTTTCTCTGTATTGATTTTCATTTGCTTTTTGTAGTTGCTGGTGGCAAAGCATGGCCTTTTTCAGGTTCCGGGCAGCGATAGACGAACACAACCCGAGAGCAGCGTGTGTGCGTGGAGTCCCACTCCTCCATGCTGTCGCCTGTATGGGGCTGCTGGTGGAGCTGGGCGATTACTGGGGCAGTGTGGGGGGAAGCTGGGTGCTACTCACCATTCTCATGAGTGGGCTGATCCACTCAACTGAGCTGACT